TAAGCACAGTCATCCACTGTGACTCTGGCAGCAACTAGCTCAGCCGTTTTCCTTTTACCTTTTTTTTTATTTTCATGATGACAGTGGTGAGGCTCTGCTTTCCCTGCCTCCCCTGACTGCATGTCCCTGGTATTTAATTTAAAAAAGGATCAGTAATGCATGTTATTATGACATGTAGTTATGCTTGTATATTTAAATAACATTTGGTAAACTGAATCTTTTCTCATTGCATATGGATTGTGATCTGTAAATGTTTTATGACACATGTCATACAAACCCAAATATTTTTTTTAAATCATGGCTTAGTATAATTTATGAGTTCATTTTTTCATTTTCAATTCTCCACAATAAAAGCATTTATAATAGCTCATAATTTTATATAACATCCTGTGTCCGGTAGACACAAAGATTACCAATATTGGTATTAAAATAGGAAAATAATCACACACAAATGTATATTATATAGGAATTTATTGCCAAAGTCTACTGTTTTATAAAGTTCAGATGATACCTGGCAGACATTATAGATCTTCCCAATAAAAATAACAATTCTATTTAAGTACTTGATGTTGAGCACTATGTAATTATTTTGTTGGAAAAAAAGTAACGTTAAGTGCTTAAGTGAGGAAAAAAGTTGCAAGAAAAAAACTCAAAGAATAAGAACCCCAACAATTCAACCTTGAGGTATATTGATTCTCCATTATTGAAAATTTATTTTGCCTAACATGTGTTTTCCTCAAGTATTCTTGTCAAAATAGACATACCAAAGTACTACTGTATTAGTAATTGCAGCAACAGGGCTGTGTGAAACAAATGAAAGTAAAAACCATGCATGCACACTTTTATTCAGACACCACTGAAGCTAAATTATTGCAGACATATTTATGCAAACTGCAAAACAGTTTTTGAAGCAGCTTATAAATTCTTTAAAGGACATGGCTTTTTAAACCATCTATGCTTCAATTGCAGTACAATGTTGTACATCACTTTGCAATTGATCTCAAAAAAGTATTTCAGTTGCTTTTCCCCCTGACTGATCTTTTTGGTGACTGAATATATATAGGCAAACTTTGCTTACAAGTTGCCTTGTGTAGCAATCCTTTGAACTTTTGACAGTGCTGAAAAGATAACTGTGACTAAGCTGAGCTTTTACAATCTTTGCAGCATCCTTCAGTCACATGTCATCATTACAATCCCATATATTGTCCTGTACATTAGTGGTTTCTTTTTCCCCCTCACAGAACAGAGAATGGAGAAATAGAGATTATGAGACAGTAAGCAGGAACACAATGAATATACATTGAAAGAAATGCGCTCATGTTGTTTATTGTTGCATTCTTTTCAATGTGTATCACCTATTGTGTGTCTGCTTATCTTCTTGTAGTCCCTCCCTCTTCAATGAATGTAAATAGAAACATTAAATCCCTACTTAGTAATTATCTTAGTGCTGAGAATGAGGATTTCAAAAGGCAGGGGTGTGGGGGAAAAGAAAAAGAAATAAAACCATAAAGTAGTCACAGCCTTGTGATTTTTCACTTAGTAACTGCATCACTTAGTGACTGAGTTTCCAGTCCCAACTCTGGTCACTAAATGAGGACTACCTATAATGCTGCAGTTCTATAGCTTTGCAAAGCACACCCTTCAGATGCCTCACCTTATCCATCCTACATTTAGTACACATTGGTGCAGCATATACTGAAGTTAGGTACATCTAATGTGTAAGTCATTATAACTAATTGGTGGCTCATTCCCAGTTGCATTTTCTAGCAACTAATGTTGCACAAAATGTGGGTGTATGATTAAATATCAATTTTAATGGAAAACAAAACAACAAAAAAACTAAACTACTTTTAATATGTCCTAACATTTATAAAAAAAATCAAATTTCCATACACAAAATATCCACAAATCTCCAGCCACTTCATTCATAACTATGTTAAGTCTTTATTTTTTGCAATGCCACTTTATATTACCGATCCTTCTGTAGAATGAAATAAAAAAAAAGCAATTATCAAGGCAAAATGGCCTATGAAATAGGAGGTCAATATGAAACAGCATAAAATTGCTACTTGTCTTAAGTTAGCTGATCAGATGAGTACAGGAATGTTATACAATTATACAGTCTGTTATTGATGCTACTGATTTCATATGGTAAGCCCTTAAAAACATTATGGTAATAATGATTGATTTTACATATTTAATCTTTAAATTGTTTATAGCTCTGTTGGCCCAAGAGCTGGACAGCTTTTCTCTTATATGAAGACAAAAGACCCAGGAAAAATTTGCATAACCCTGCACAGCTGGAAGTCTGTAAGTCAATAGAACTAGATTTATAATTTTTATTTTAACAATTCAGATTTGTTTTTATAAGGAAATGTACATAAGTCCTCTTATAGCCTGCAGTTGTTTATATGCATAAAACTAATATTTAAATTTAATTTGGGATTACATTAAATATAATGAGCAACTTTGCTAACATGCTACAAATATTTCAGCTTATATTTTGGTGCACTGTTGGCACTTCCTAAACTTTTATTTGGAAATATCTGTTTTCTACTTATATAAAACACAGGTGCCATCTTAGAAACACATTAAGTTGTTTTTCAGTACAAATGAATAAGTAATCCATAGCAGATTGACCTAAAATGTCACAAATAACCCAAACAAAGTACAGCTGTAAAACTTGTACATGGGATGTACTGCATTTATTGTTTGTTTGTTTGTTTTTTTTAAAAAAAATCAGTGTTAGGAATTTGACCATGTTGGCATCTACGTCTGAAAGCTCTGCAGGACTCCGCCCGGAATCCTACGGGATTGGGCGGCATACAAGTGTTATTAAACTTTGAAACTTTGTTATTAAACTGCAGCAACATTTGTTAGAAGAGGTAGCAGCTGCGCTGTTAAATCTGAAACGAACAAGTCTAGACAGGCTGTAAACATTTCTAGGAGTTTTAAATATCTAAAGAACAGCAGAAAAGGTTTTGAAGTTGGAAAATCTGAACTTAAAACAGTAACATTAGTACATTTACTAAGCTGCGTGTAATTCAAACTATAAAGAGGAGAATATATTAGAAAAAATATTAAAATTCTGCAAGATATACAGAACCACTATTCTGTTGACATCTACAGTTAACTTTCTCCATGTTCTACATTTTAATACTCTTATAATTAAGTCATACAGGTATTTAAGTAGTCAATTTAGTGGAAAACCCCACTTCAATATATTTCAGTGTGCAAAACATTTCAAAATTATTTGTACAATTTGTGTAAACACTTTGATTTTTTTCAAAGGAATTTCCATCCCTCTATACAGCTATTTAATATATTGGCTATATGATATCCTAATATATTGGCTATTTGCAATTCTAGTTGTTAAGGCCTCTTTGCTAGATGCAGTTTTTCAGTAGTGCAACAAAAACAGTCTTTAATATTTTGATTAATATAGCAGACACATTTCAGAAATTCAGTACATCGAAACTGTCAAAAGTTGTAACATATTCGAAAATACATTTTTACAGTTCATAAGAAAAACATGATTTAAAAAAATCTTTATGGCGAATGGTCTTTTGTGGTTCCTAGTAATGGTTTTCACTTCTGTCTTCACAATTCGGTTTTGTTGTAGTATATAGTTATGTAGAAGAAACACTTTCATGATTTCACCAAGTAACTGAAAATATCCCTCAAATGCGGCAAAGGCATGCATACAGTTTTCATAGTGCACTTTCACCTCACTGAAGTAAAAGTTGCTCCTGAGATTTTTTTTTCCACTTCAATGTGAAGCAGATGGATATTTAGTGTTCGCATTAAATAATCCAATGGTCTAGCCTTCTTCTGTCAAAGACAGTCCTCAGATGAGGAATTATTTGGAAAGAGTATTTTGCTTAGTGTTACTGTTGACTGTTGACAGTTTCTGTTTAAGTACATTAGCGCACACACAGCTTTGTCCTCCAGGTATATCAGTGCAACTGTAACAAATAAGATTCCACTTCCTAAAAAAAATAGAAGCAGTAAAGCACATTAATTCAAAAAGTAGTTCAAAACACCAAGCCTCTCTTTGAATGCCAGCCATAATAGTTCAAAATTCAGCATGCTGGCTGAGGAATTCTGAAAGTTGAAGTTCACACATCTGTCAAGCTGCCAAAGTTGAGAAACACTGCTTTAGCAAACACATGTTTATCTCTATTCTTACTCAGAAATGTTTTTGTAGAAACATAATTAAAACACCCATACTTGAGTACAGGGTTTAAAAGATTATCAGAGGATTTGAAGTGTTACCTAGGAACTGTAGTACAACATAGCTTGTGAATGGCCAACCAGTATATATTGTAGGTAGTGCTCGACTTACAACATTTCATTTAGTGATCATTTGAAGTTAATGAAAGTTACACCACCAATGAAAAAAGTAACTTATTTGTCCCTTATGACATTGATGCATCCCCATGGCCATGTGATTTATATTTGGATGCTTGACATCTAACTCATATTTATGACGGTTGTAGTATCTCATAGTGATATGGTCCCCTTTTGTGACAAGCAAAGTCAATGGGGAAACCAGATTCACTTAACCATGTTACTAATTCAGTAATTAATAATTACTAAAAGAATTGCAGTGATTCACAAACGAATGTGGCAAGAAAACTCGTAGACATTGAGAATAAAGACAATGAGGAATCAGTGTACTACAGGACATGGGGATGATTTTATGATTGGCTTGAAAAAAGATACAAATAGAAAGAGAAAGGAACAAAGCACAAACAAATAACTTAGATGACACATTATTAAATCAGGGGGAGGGGAAATAATAAAGTATGAAAATGTAAATATACAGGCGAAAAAATGATATGAATTGACAAATGTTAAACAGCAATTATAAGTGTAGATTTAAGACTGAATTTGAAAGGAAAAATAAAAAACTTTAAAAAATGAAAACTTGTAAAATGGGGCAAAACTCACTTCACAAATTTCTCACTTAACAACATTAATTTTTGGCTCAACTGTGTTCGTAAAGTTAATGTAAATAGCTGTATTTCATTAATGAATTATAGTTAAAACTACAAACTTGTAGTTTAGCATAATGTATTAACATCATTACTAAAATATTTTGGTAACTCACATGCCCTTTAGTTCCTGTTCAGGTTTTAATTTAACACCTATACAATAACAAGTAACTGATCTAGAAACATAACCTTTGACATAAAAACAATATCACCATGTCTCTCCCATTTGATGCGCTAAGCAACAAAGTATAAACTAGAGTTTGCTGTAATCTGCTCTGATAATTAATTCCCCAATTATGCTGAAAGTTCTATTTTGCATTCATGTGAATGCATGTAGAATCTCAACTCCTAACTTTTCTATTTCAATTAACAAGGATAGAGGGAGGGATAACTAATGCAGAGAAATTAGGAGACAATACTATATACATTTCTGTCCTTGATGTATAAATAACATACACTACTCAGAGTCTTCTGTCTGAAATACAGGAAATAGTATGCTCTATTATCTGCAAGACAACATGATCTTTGAATGGTTATTCTGTGAATGCTAATAATGATTGTGCTGACTGTTCTATGAAATAATAAAAAATAGTTCTTCTCTGCTAAACGAGGAGGTAAAATTTAAGTGTTTTTTTTTAAATGGAAAGCAAAGATTGACATAATAACCAGATAAAATAACCAAGGGATAAGAGACAGAGAGAAGAGCAAACAAATAAACCAGATTCAACTTGTATCTCAATAGTGACAAAAGGAGAGGTGTGAGAGGTTTGCTCGACTAACTCAGGATCTGCCTGAACATAAGTGCATTGATATACAAAGAAAAATACTGTTAATTCCAAACAATTAACCTCAAATGGAGAAATAAAATAACTCAATAGGCTATCTTCAAAGTTACATAATGGGGTTTCAGCTCATGCCAAGGGACTCCCATCTCCAACATAGCTCTGAAGAAGCTAACTCTTTAAATTATACTTTGAGTATCACAGCAAGGGACGGGCAGAATATAAATTTGGTACATTTCATTATAAGTTACATTATATAAACTTAATTTTAAAAATATATTATCATCAAATAAATATCATTACCTTTGCTATATTACCCGTATACCCTGGAACCAAAGTAAGATGATTTTCTTGTTTCCACAATATACTTAATTGTTCTTTTAAAATTTGAATATTTCTAAGAAAGAAAGCCAAAAGTATGGAATATTAATGCAATAAACAAAGAGCAATCAGAGTCTCATGGTAATTATCTTACCTAGATTTCAAATATATGACCAACTGTATCTTTAATAAGTTATTGGCTAATGCAGAAAAAAATGTTTTTAATAATTTTTAGTGAAATTTGAGAAGGCCATCACAGACATTTCATCAACCTTAGAGCAGGTTTTAACTTAAGTTCAAAAAAAAATTATTTTTGTACTGTGCTAGAGACCTCAACAGATGCCATATTTTCAAGATGAGAAATTTATTATTTCTGTAGGAACGAAAGCGCTGGGTGCTGTCAGCTAAGAAGTGTTGGCTGGCCTTTTCTGACATGGCACCTGCTTTGTGGAATATCATTCCACCAGAGATTAGATCGGCCCCAACCCTACTGGCTTTTCACAAGGCCCTAAAAATCTGGTTTTGAGCTAGAGCAGTGATGGCTAACCTTTTCTAGACCAAGTGCCCAAAGCATGCGCTCCCAAACCCCAAAATGCAATACGCGTGCCCCTTCCCTTGCATGTGGGGCAGAGACCCAAAGACCAGCTGGCTGAAGGGAGGACGCACGCATGCATGGTAGAGCTGAATTGGGGAGGTCTTATTATTTTTGAAGTACAGGAGGGGGCAAGCATGGTCACATCATGGCTGCTGCTGTGTTGCAATATTTTTGGGGAGGGCTTATTTTCAGGACAGGGCTTATTTTAGTACATGCACTCAAAAGCTCAATTGAGCTTATTATCTGGGGAGGTCTTATTTTCAGGGAAACAGGGTATGACATGGATAGCTACATAAGTCAAACGTGCATCTTACATTGACAAAATTACTTTGCAATTGTGTTAGTGATTTTTTTAACCTTCAGTTTCACATATCAAAAAGTATAGATAACAAGTTATTAAAAATTAGGCAAGAAAATCTACGAGTCATACTTCCAAGATCTAATAAAAAAAAAGTTTCTACATTTGTATAGCAGAGTTTTCAATACTAAGTGAAAGAGAAAGATCTGCACGATCAAACTTCTTGCATACTGTTTAATCTGATCATGTATAGAATTGTTCCCAACGGTATGTTAAAAAAAATCTAGTTTTTTTTAATCAGGAAAGTTTTTAGTTATTAAAAAATATCCAACATGTTTTAGGCACTATATAAAAGTTTAGCAGTCATATTAAAAACCACACTGCATAATTAAAAAAGATTACTTACTCATCTTCTATTTTATCTGTATGGACAGAAAGTTCTGACCACCATCTCTTAATCACAGCCTGAAGCCAATTTAAACCAACAATTACATATCTAGGGGAAAATAAATCACCATGGTAAGACTTTATTCTGAAAACTGCTTAAACATTGGCAAAAACAGTTGCAAAGTACTCAGAAATCTTTCAAATCAAATGTTTTTTTTAAATGAATGGAGAAACCAAGCAAAGTAATTCTTCCTAATAATGTATTAAGGTTTTTTTTTTTCTTAGAAGGCAAAATGTCTGTTATATGGGTATAACTCAACCAAGTTTATTATTGAGAAACATTTTTTTCCAAGTCATTCTGTTCAGCAACACTGATTTTGGTTTTCCCAAAATCTTTTTTATTCAAACAGGCTTAAGAAACTGAATTGACATACACTGCTTGTTTTAAATATATAAATAGTAGGAGACACATCTTTAGCATCAGTAAATCAGGCTGAGGAAGACTGCAAATACAAAATCGTAGAACAGATGGCTTTTTAGGATCCCTTACTTTAACCCATCCTGCCTGGGATTTTGGAATGTATAGCACAGCAACATTGGAAAGGCCACATATTTGCCCTAAATGTTAGGACCTATGAGACCAATAAAATCACTGTTGATCCCACCCTTGACATGCAAGTCTATGAATTTATGAGAAACAACAAACTACGAAAAGTAAGGATTAACTTAAACTTTTATTCTCTAAATAATCACAAGATATTTTTTTAAAAAAAACTTACTCTTCAAATTTGCTTTTAAGCATTAATTTTACTAATGGTAGAAGGTCTACACAGCAACCAACAGAAATATAAGGTTTTTCTTCCTGTAAACTGAAACAAGGCATTATTAATATGCATAAATATACACTTTCAGACTCCATTAAGCCCTTCTTCTAAATCTTTATTTTACCTGCTGGTAAGGACAGGGAGACAATCTACAACTACTCCCAGATCTTCTATCCTAGAAACATCATGAAAACACACCATTAGTCACTGCTTTGTATAATTCTTCAATACATTTCAAAACTCTATCAATATTTTAAGGGCAGCATATTAGAAATGGCTGGATTTTATTACATTATTTTACACAGATAAGCAAAGTCTGTTCATAGTAAGCCTATGAAGAATTCCCACAGGTTTTAAAATTATGGTCTCACATTCCATTATTAATTGTCCCATCATTATTGTTGTTTTGTTGTTGTTGTTATTATTATTATACAATTGTATCACAGCGGCCAGTTGTTTCGCCGGATTTGGCATTGGTTA